GCCTTGTGCCCTGGCTATGTGGGAGCTTGGCCACTGCGACCCCCGGCGCTGCACGGGCCGTAAACTGGCCCGCCTGGGTCTGGTACGCTGCCTGCGCCTGGGCCAAAGATTTGGCGGTCTGGTGCTCAGCCCCGTAGGCACTCAGTACGTGTCTCCCGCAGACAGGTAGGCACCGGAGACCGGGGAGGGGTCGGAGTGCCTATCCCATTATCTTGTCCTTGTTAAACAGCTCCTTATGGAGGGTATCATTTTCTTCAAGCCTTGCTTACCGGTGTTGGATGTCCACACCTTTCACATGGGCACGGTTGTATCTAACTTGACCTCTATGAGAAGCATAGAGCGAGGCTTAGCGAAGAGCCTAGGAGAAAAAGTTAACTAAACATTGTCCGGCTAGCTCCGCCCCCCCCCCAGCAGCCCCCTGTAAGCTTGTTAGTGAGGGCTCTTTGTACCACTACAATAAACCATAGTTTGGAAATACCAGAATATCTCATCTGTAGTGAAGCCGGTCTCCAAAAGCATGTCTTATTTGGGGCCCCAGAACCTACCCTACATTCTCTGGCAGACAGCTGGTGGCACAGTCAGGGGTCGCTGTCATAGACTGCTCCTGGGCCAGACTGGATGAGACACCCTTTGGGAAGATGCGAGGGAGCCATTTGCGGCTCCTGCCTTACCTCCTGGCTGCCAACCCTGTAAACTATGGCCGACCCTGCAGACTTTCCTGCGTGGAAGCTTTTGCTGCGGCTTTCTGCATTGTAGGTGAGTTTCAGGTTGGCAGAAACCTGTCCTGGCAGCCTGGGACCTGACTGTGCCCCCAAGGACTGTGGTTTCTTCTGGCAGATTCGGAGCAGGGGGACGTGAGGCGAATATTTTGGGGACTGTCAGGACAGCCTTTGGTTTCAGTCCCAGTACCCACATATAGCTTTGACCTTGTAAGCGGAGGGAGAGGCAAGATGGACAGCTGTCTTCCCGGGATGGTGTGTGGGTCGTCACTGTCAAGACAGCACTGCCCCCAAAAGTCTTTGTTCCCAATATCTGAAGGGAATGTAGGGTTCAAGGAGAGGCCCCGATGGAGACCACATAAAACATAGGGACTAACATAGCAGGACTATTTCTCAGCAAATGAGAGGAACCTTGGGGACTGTCGAGGTGGGGAGAGCTTCCTGGATGGCAGGAAGGGGTGGTATAGTTGTGCTTTTTATAGGGTCCCCGGTATATTTTAAGTCTTTGTTCCTCCAGGCTTTTCAGACCTTGCTGTCATTTTGCTTCAGAAGTTTAAGTGGGGCAAGGGCTTCCTGGACCTGAACCGACAGCTCCTAGAGAAGTATGCAGCCTGCCGCAGTCCAGAGGAGGTGCTGCAGGCCGAACAGGGGTACTTGGCTAGCACCAAGGACACCCCTGAGGAGGAGGAGGAGATTGGTGAGGCCTGTTATGGTTGGGAGCCCCAGGGAAGCTGGGAAGCCCATCCAGGTCCTTTGGAGCCTGGAGCCACCACTTTGGTTCTGCCCTGAAATCACTTAAGAGATCACCTTCCTCTCTACTCAGATCCCTTTGATGTGGACTCAGGGCGAGAGTTTGCAAACCTCAACAGGCCTGTTGCCAGCACCTGGTAGGTTATGTGGATTCACGCTAAGTGATGGCTCAAGCCCAATGTGCCTTGTGGGTGTGGCTTTCTGAGCAAGGCCTGGTGGTGATTACAAAATATAAAGCAGCTGCCTGCTGGAGGGGGTTGGGCTCAAGAGTATCCCCTGCTTGAGGGTGTCTGTGGTTGAGTGTCATAGGGAAGGTAACTTTGTACTGGCCTATGTCTACACCTTAGTACTTCCAGGCCACCTGTGGACATGGATGACACTGAGTCCGAAGACCACAGTGAGGATTCTGGGGAGGACAGTGATGAGGGTGAGGAACAAGAAGCTTGTGTTAATGGAGGAGACAACAGCTGCTCTCAAGAGGTAGAGACAGAAGAAGAGGTTCAGGCCAAAGACTCCACTGAACTCTGGAATGAAATCAAGAGACACCAGAGAGACTGAAGTTTGCAAACACATATGTTATTGAAGCTGGTGTACATTAGTCCAGAGGTGGCAGTGGGACCCAGGGATGGACAGGCCTGCTGGGACAATTCTGCAATTCTGTGATAGTCTTGTTTGAAGTCCTGCCTTAGAGCTCTTGATAAAGCCAAGAAGGAGTCCCCACACCAATATGAATTCTGTTGCTTTGTACTTGGCTAAGGGTTGGGGAAGTCGACCTGGGTGGATCTGGGCTAGGGGGTAGTCACATACAGATATATACAAGGATATCTGACCAGCTAGCCACAGAGCCCTTAACCCCGATCTCCACCTGTGGGCAGTGTCCCTCTCATGGTGACTATGGGAGAAACTCACTTGGGCCCAGGAACTAGGTGGGGAACCAGAAGGAAAGTAATCCTTAACCGGCCCCTTGCTAACCTGCTGTAGGTAGAACATCTAGATCAAAAGAGAGAAGCTGCAGGCAGTAGAAGCACTAACCCTCACCCTCTGCCTGGGGCCCCGGGAAGCTCAACTGCTAACTTCCTAACTTGTCTCCTGGCCTTCTTGCCTTTGCCAGTGGACACCTATCCTGGGGGAGCAGGGCAGGGCCTCTTCTATGAGGCTTCCACCCATGGCACTGCTGTCATGAGACACAAATCATTTCTCACCTAGCCAACAAGGGTGTGAGCAGCAACACTGGCCTCCACCCCTGGCACCAGTACTCTCCACTCCCTAGTTGTGACTACAGATCTCCAGATCCTACCTAATGACCTCTAGGGGGCAGAGTCCACTGAGAGCATATGACCAATGCTCCAGGGAGGAGCGCCCACTAGTGTCAGGTCCCATCCATCCTATTCTGCGTCCATGGGCAGATGCTGGCCAGGTCCCTCTGAGTTGGCTGCCCATATTCACGGTGGGGCATGCTGGGGCACAAAGGGTTCACAGCACACCAAAAGACACAGCCAGACAGAAGCCACAAGGTTCAGTCAGAGCAGGCAGGTCATATGGTGAGGGAGGAGGCCCCCCCCCCCCGGAACCCCCGGCCCCCCAA